TCTTCCTGTAAGGGATAAAAATGAGACACATAGCCTTATTTCCCACTGTAACCTGTGCTATTACCTGTCTCTTCCTTGGGGAGGAGTAACAAAGGGAGGAGAGGACAAGTACCAGGCAAGGCAAGCGGCTGGCTCTAGGGAAGTAGATAAAATAGTGGGAGGGTGTATTAGTTTTCTACTATTGCATAACAAATTACCACAAATGTAGCAGTGTAAAATAACACCCATTTTATGATCTCGCAATTTCCATGGGTCAGGCGTCTGGGCACAGGTTACCTAGGTCTTCTGCTCAGGGTCCCACAGGGCTGCAATCAAGGTTTTGGCTGAGGCTGAGTTCTCATCTGAGGCTCAGAGGCCTCTGCCAAGCTCCTTGCTTGTTGTCAGAATTCAGTTCCTTGAGGTTGTAGGACTGAGGCCCTCAGATCCTAGAAGCCGCCCAACATTACTTGCCATGTGGCCTTCTCTACAATGTGGCAATTTGTTCTTCAGGGCCAAAGGGAGAGTGTCTCTGCTGCTTCTTGTCTTTTTTTAAGGGCTCACTTGAGTAGGCCAGATCCACCCAGGAAAATTATCTCCTGATTAACTCAAAGTCAACTGAGCAGAGATCTTAAAAATCCCTTTTGCCATGTAATGTAACATAATTCACCTACACTGCTACACTACAGTTCCACCTACACTCAAGGGTAGGGGACAATACAGGGTATGTATAGGAGAGGGCAGGAATATTGGGGGCTATCTTAGAATTCTGCCTACCACAGAGGGGCCCCTGGATGTATCCAAATAAGCAGAGGAGAAACCTTCTTGCTTCTCTTCGTATCATTTTTATGAGTGAACATTACTGGGAATGCTAAGCCTGCTATTTTGCACGGCTCAGCCATGGTGAAATTGTTAAACAGGGAAGAAAAGTGGGCAGGGTGAACCTGAAGATGTGGAATAGCCTTGCAATGGCAGTGATGCAGCGAGCTTATGAATGAGTACATTCAACTTTTGCTAAACTGTTACTTGGGAAAAGGAATAGATTTTTTAAAGAAGGAAAATGGGATAGTTTTCTCTGGAAGAGCTCCATTAGTGCCTGTCTGTCTGCCTCCGGTGGACACATAATACTAGTTAATGCTCTATAACCAAAGGACAAAAGTGAAAGCAAAGGCATTAAAGAGTTTTCCTTCCCTTCCCTGTCTAAGAGATAAACAACTTTTGTGGCAACCAATGAATGAAATGTTCACCTGCTAATGCATGGCAGAAATCCATTATAGCTTCTCAGCAGATAAAGAAATAGGCTTCGGACAGGGAGAGGTGAGGATTCCTAGCCTTGAAGGCTGTCATTGTGAGAGCTGGTTCTTCCCAGGAACCATGACTTGGCGGCCCATGCTGGAACTCATGCATTAGTCTTCTCATCTGAGAATCTACAGTCCTGAGCAGCAGGCAGAATTCAGCAGCTTGGAAGCACTGGCTTGCCCAGTCGGCACAGTAAGAATGTGTTTAGAGCATCATGAAGCAGGAACACCAAAAAATGTTTTTTTCAATAACTTGATATTTAATATGTAATAAAGAAAGAGAATTTTACTGAGCTTCTTTACATTTATTTTATGATATGCGCATTTATTCTTTAATTTGGGATTACCTACTGCAGAAAGGTGGAGGTGGAGGAGTAGGGACTACAATCTTTTCAGTGTTTAGGGCCTTTAGAGTCTAGAAGTCTTAAAACATCCCCAGGGGGGCTTGCCCCGTGGCTGAGTGGTTAAGTCCGCGCGCTCCGCTGCAGGTGGCACAGTGTTTCATTGGTTCGAATCCTGGGCGCGGACATGGCACTGCTCATCAAACCACGCTGAGGCAGCGTCCCACATGCCACAACTAGAAGGACCCACAACGAAGAATGTACAACCATGTACCGGGGGGCTTTGGGGAGAAAAAGGAAAAAATAAAATCTTTAGAAAAAAAAAAAAATCCCCAGGGAATCCAAAACAGGAGGAGTCTGCCAGAGGTCACGTCTCCCAACCTATTGCTTCCAGGCAGCATCACACCTGAACCCTTTCGCAGAGAACCAGAGAGTGTATGCTCCACGAAGGCAGAGATTCTTGTGTGTTTTGTTCTGTGCTGTGTCTGAGTACCTAGCACTGTGTGGGGGACATAATACCTATTTAGAAAATGTTCCATGGGTGAATGGATATTTCCATTTTCAGCAGTCTCTTCCCTTCCTGCATATTGTCCATCTCCCTTAAGATCCCAAGGCATCATCAGATAATATTTTGTATTTGTCAAACTTGCCTGATGATAAAAAAAATAATCTGGGGGCACTTTTCAGATATACAGATAACTAGGCCTCTCTTTTGGAAATTCTGGTTCAGGAAGTCTAAGTTAGAGTTCAGGAATCTGTGTTTTTGATGAGGACTTCTAATAAGTCTTTTCTTCAGATCAACACTGAGATAAATAGCAGGAGCTCGGCTCTTCCCCACATAAAGATTGAGGAGCCATGACCACCTGACCTGGTTTCTGAGGGGCAATCGAAAGTTAATACCCTGAGCTTCTGGTCAGTGGTGCTGAGGGAATGCAGGGCTGTGAGAGTCTTCTGGTCTACCCCCAAGTCATCTAGCCCAGCCCTGAATCCTAGTTCCTGCCTTCCTGAAGAAATGGACCTGGGAGAGGAGGTACTCCAAAGCCCCTCTACTTCTGGGACTGCCCATTGAACTTCTTGCCTCTTCTTTCCACCAGGCAGGTGTTCTGTTCTGTCCCTTCTCCCAATTCTCACTAGCACATGAATTCACAGCCACCTCTGTTGGGTTTGATAATGACCTCTGCCCTACTCGGGGAGAGCCAACCCCTGCATCCAGGGAGAGGCGAACTTTTTAGTCAGTCCTGGTCACTGAACCAGAGCATTCTTCCTACAGTGGCTAAATAAAGCCTCTTTTTTCAGCACTCCCCACTACCTTACACATGAGAGAAGGAAGCTCTGATCCAGATATGGCTTGCCCTTTCTACCCCAAGACCTCCCACACCTCATCTAAAGCCTGAAGAGGCTGGTTCCTCCCTCCGTGATTCATCCTAGGTCTTCTTGTCCCCAGGACTCAGTGACCCCTGACTGGTTCACCAAGCACTTATGGTTTCTAAGGAAAGGGTTGAGGTTATAGAGCAACTCAAGGAAGAAAAGTTGCTGCTTTTATTCTTGGCCCCATAGAACTTTCTGCTAAAAATACTCTCCCCTATCCAGGAAGATAATCCTGGGATCTCTAACCCTTGGGTTTGAATTCTTCTTGGAGATTAAACAGCAAGGAAGAATAAATCTAGGTCAAAAAGAGTAATCTGCTCTGTAGCTGAAAGTGAGAGAATATAATAGACTTTATGGTTACAGTTATCCAGTATGATCGCCACTTATGGCTATTCAAGTTAAAATTAATTAAAATTAAATAAAATTAAAAATTAGAAAGTGTTTAGTAGCCAGTGTGGCTAGTGGCTACCACATTGAATGGCACAACTATTTTCGTCATCACAGGAAGTTCTACTGGACAGCACTGTTTTAAAGGCATGGCGATGTCCCCTTGACCCTGTATATGTGATGTTTCTTTAGCATCTTTGGAAATATGTCTTTGTTTCTCTTGGTGGTTCTTGTGCTTATGATGCGTTATTCTAGAAAAAAGCACTACTGAAGACTGCACTGAAAACCAAAACCAAAAATAACTGCCATAAATGCATATTTGGTGTGTGGGGGGGATTAATTATCAAAAGGTTTCATTTTTCCCAGTTTTTCTTCTATTCTCCTTCTACAAAAGTACCCTCCCTTTTTCATTTGCCTTTCTGCTTTATCTGTAGTGTATCTTATGCTATGTAAGCCTTCTCAGACAAAGTGAAATGGTAGACTAGACTTTGAAAAGAAAAGGATCAGAGAGGAACTAAAAGCCTATTTGGGGCACAGGAACAAATAGTTGGGCAGAATGCCCCCAAATCACACGCTGAGAAAAAGAGGAAAAGAAGCGGAAGGAGGTGATGAGACTGGGAGGAGCAGGGTGGGCCCAGGACGGGGGTCTGGTCTGGATAGTAGGTCTGGAGCGTAAAGCAGCCTGGGCTAGTTCTTGCCATTCCTGAGGCTAGTAGGCTGCCCAGGAATTCCTCTGTGCAGTAATTTCCTAATCAGAATCCTCCTGCTTAGGAAGAGCACCTTCCACCAGAATTTATCTTCCACTCCTGGGTGATCTCCATCCTAGGCTCAGTGTGTACATGAAGAAGATATAATGGGTTAAATGCTGCATCGGGGGGAAGGAGACCTCTGTCCCTGATGTCTTAGAGGAGTTGCAAGGATTGTGCCCTTCTCCTCACCAGCACTGTCTGTGGTTTCCCTCCCTTAACATCCATCATCCCTGTAATGATTTCTTTAATGCTTATGCTCTCCCCTGGGTGAGACTAGGGAAGTTGAGCAATGCTTTGAAACATGGCAGGCAACAGACTTGGCAGGTGGAAGGCAGAATAAGGTTAAATAGTGAGGATCAGGGGCCAGGGGTCACAGGACAGAAAGCAAGGTAAGGGAGGGCAAAGCACAGGTGGGCATCAGGAGCAGGTGTGCAGAACCATAGTTTTGAGGCCCGGTGGCCAGAAGACTAGAGCTGGGGTGACTTTTCCAACTCATCCCTGAAGCTTTTCTTTTCTCTGCTTTCTTAGAAGGCAAGAGCCCCACCCCACCCTCAAGCATGGCTGGCCAGGGGCTTGTCCAGGTCAATGAGCAACTATGTCAGAGAGTGTGAAGTGAAGGTGGGGAGGAAGTTAGTGGTCACAGGCAGATGGCCAGTGGCCTGGGGTCTCCCATCCCTTGGCTTGAAGGCAAAGGTTGTCCATATCTGTATAGTAAACTTTAAACCTTTCTCCAGCCTTGAGTGAGCTCCTAATGTGAATGCAACAGTCCGGACTTCCACTCCATCCAGACTCCACCCTGTCCCCACCCCCACCCCAGGGTCTGCCAAGTGCACAATTTAAAGCTACTGATGTATAATGCCCCATTTCTCTCTGTCTTGCAGCTGTCTCCAACCTGGACATTGAGAGTAAACTGAGTGTGTACTACCGTGCCCCGTGGCACCAGCAGAGAAACATCTTCCTCCCAGCCACAAGGCCGCCCTGCGTGGAGGAGCTGCACCGCCACGCCCGGCAGAGTCTGCAAGCCCTGCGCAGAGGTGACTGCTCCCGAGCTTGGGGGGCTTTTCCAAGAGAGAACTCAGAGCTTGTCCCATCCAGGTTGTTCTCTGTCCCATCAGTCCCAACACCTCCCTTTGTTATAGCAAGTACTTTGAAACAATCCCTTTTCTACCCTGAAATGAAATTCATGGGTAATATAACCTGCCTATACACATGATTAAAAATAGCATTATGGTCTAAATATGGTAATAAGGAGAATTTAAAAGGAAAATTATTTATAATACTAATAATATTTGCAATATGCAAATGCCTGGGTATGATTGCACTAGAAGATATAATTAATGCACCTATCAAAAGTAGGTTTAGATTGGGCCAGCCCAGTGGCGCAGCAGTTAAGTTCGCACGTTCCACCTTGGTGGCCCAGGGTTTGCCAGTTCAGATCCCGGGTGCAGACCTACATGCTGCTTGTTAAGCCATGCTGTGGCAGGTGTCCCACATATAAAGGGGAGGAAGATGGGCACGGATGTTAGCTCAGCGCCAGTCCTCTTCAGCAAAAAGAGGAGAACTGGCGGCATATGTTAGCTCTGGGCTAATCTTCCTCAAAAACAAACAAACAAACAAACAGTAGGTTTGGATTAAGTAAAGACAACCAGAAGCCATTCTGAACAAAATGTATAGGGAAACAAAGGAGTTGAGGGGCAGGAGGACAGACCGTGAAAACTGGTGCATTCAGCGTATATTAAACATGAGCAAAAAAAAAAAAAAGAACAACTTTATATTGCAATTAAAAGGGAATCAGGTTTGATTCAAATAGATTCTAGGCTTTTCCTTAAAAGCAATTCTGGTGGGATATTTGTGGGACCTGGGGCACTATTTCATGGTTCAGGACCGTCCTGTGCATTGTAGGATGGCTGTCATCGTTGGCTCCCGCCCAGTCCTCTAACAATTAGAACCTCCCCCAGGGGGCTCTTCTGCACCTGCTGAACATGGGTGATCTGGTCCATTCTACAGCAGAGCACATGGAGGCCTAGAGAGGTCAGGAAACTTGCTCAGGGTCACACACAGCAGGTTAGGTAGACTGCCAGGACCCAGACCCTGGCCTGCAGACCCCCAGCCAGAGCTGTTTTTCTCCTCACCACACACTGTGTCCTTGGGAAGTAAATAAATATTTCTATTTCTATTTCTCTCATAGTCCCGAGAAAGTCAGAGATAGGCAGAGAGCAGTCAAGGTAGAAGATACAACCTTTTCTTACACTGGTAACTTTTCAGTGCCTTAAAACCATTCTAATGAGGACAAGGAGATTAAAAACTGGCATCATCCTTTTAGAGTCCCCTAAATTGGGTATCAGAAGTTGGCATGCCAGCTTATTTGGCCTTTAGATTTTTGTTATAGAGACAGATGGTGTCTGTACTTTCAATGTCTTTGTTCCAAATTCCCTATGCTCCTTCAAGGAATGGTATTTTGCAAAAGTATTAAAATTCAAATAAAATATTTTAATGTCACTATCAAGATGGAGATATAAAATGACATATGTTGTTTTCAGCTTATTTTCTTCCACATATGTATGACTTCTCCTTTTTCCCCATCCCTAGTCTTTTTCCCTTTTAATGAAAGAGCTAACCTACTAATATCCCTAATGCAATTGTTTCTAAAAATTCCCCTTGGTTATTAGTAGCAGATACTGTTGACACTTACAATGAAGGGTGATGATCAGTATCCCCTAGACATACCTCTGGCATTCTTACTATTCACTTTGATTTTATAGTTGGCTAAAAAGTTCTTCTTTATCAAATTTTCAGTGCAACCCACCTTCTGGAAATCTTTCTTAACACTCTCGCCATTCCTTTGCAGCCTGGATTAGGCACCCTTCCCATGATATCCTGTGCATCCTCCCATCATGCCACTTATAAGCTTATATCATAACTAACCACTTATGGGCCTGTCTTCCACCATTAATCCACAAACAACTCAAGGGCGAGGATGATAGCTTATTAATTTTTTTTATTCAAAGCACTTAGCATGAGCCTGACATAGAGTAGGTCCTCAATAAATGTTTGGGTAACTGAATCAAATCCTGCAGAAAACTGGTTGAGCATTGAGGGCACAGAATGATGACAAAGTAATCTGATCATTCTCACTAAATACTTTCTCTGATGTCATCATTAGAGAGCTTGAGTAATATTAGCCCTTTAGACATAATTATTTTTATCCCTTTATTATTATTCATAAGTCATCCCTGTTTAGATTTTTCCAGATTCAACCAGATAACATTAAGCTGCTCATAAGCTATCACATTTCACTACATTGTCAGGTTTGGACTTAATGGCAGAACTGAGGAACAGCAAGTGCCAATATCAATTTTCTCAGAACTTCCTCCTGGGGGCTGAGAGAGGGCTATGGGGCCTCCAGGGGTTTGGAAGGAAGACTGTGGAGTTGTATCTTGCCCTCCATAGACTGGCTTGCTTTGTGGTTGTCTCAATAGCAAATCTTGGGTGTAGTAGTTTTAATAGCACTGCAGAGAGCCATAAACAGGAATTATAGGCATCATAGAATTAAAAACATGCAGCGTAGAATTAAAATTAGAAAGTGAGGGTTTTTTTAACCTTGTCCGAGAAACATGGTAGCTTAGCAGTGCATTCATCAGAATACCACTTCTGCCATCTGGTGGCCAGGATTAATACTGACCTATCAGACAACCGCCTTGCTCAGCAAATGCCGCAGTGAGCTTCCCTGTAGGTTCTCTATTTAGACAGCTGGAATATCCTGGCTTCCACCAGGAGGGAGTGGATAATGAAACACAGACAAGTGAGGCTCGGTGGCAGCAGCACTATGCTCCTTTTGGAGACGAGGCCATAAGGATGGAGCTGGAGGACTGAGATCAGAACCTAGAAATTGGTTGCCTTCAAGATCTGCTCAATAGCAACCCCCTCAACAAAGTCGACTGAGGGCCAGGCATTGTGCTAACGCTAGGATTCAGAGAGCAATAAAGTATGGTCCATCCCCACAAGGAATTCCTGATCTAGTGAGGGAGATGGAGAGGTAACCAGGTAATTTCAGCACAGTGATATAGGGGCTCAGAAGAAAGGCACTAATTATGCTATGGAGCTTCAGGGAAGGCTTCCCAGAGGAAGCAGCACCTTAATGGATTTCAAGTTATCGCGAATCCAATTCCTCTTTTTTCCCCTTTTTTCTTAGCAATTCTTTAATGCTCAGAGCCAACAATAGCTTTAAGCTATGCCGTCATTTATGTTTGTAAAACAAGGAGGGAAAGATTACTAAGTGGCTATAAAGAGATAAATATAAATATATTTTAGATTTACTTTCCTATCAAGTTTCAGGGCTGGGGTCTAAGTTCCATCAGTCTAAGGGAGTGAGGACCAAGAGTCTACTGCAGTTTCAGGCTCTAGTAGATGAATGTTCTCCTCACTTCACAACCAGAAAAAAGTATTATTGGGGAGCCATTAATCTCGCCTGGCTGCTGCTGGCCTAGGGCAAATGAAAGAGAGATATTTAAGGAAATATGGGAGGGGAGCAATTGAATGGGAAATTGAGTTGATGTCTCTCTCCGGACTCCTCCCCTCCTTCCACCTTCTCCTAACCAGTGACACCTGTATTCTGCTCTTCATTATGAATTTAAGAATGTAAAAGCTTTTCCTTGTGCTGCCCATTTAGAAAAGCCCACTGTTTGCTTGCACAGAAAAGTGATGGTGGCCTTGGAAGCAGGCACTTTAAAGAAAGAAGAGTCTTCCTGATAAACATTGGCTTCGTAGGCAGTTTAGCAAAGACTACCTACATGGTGATGAAGACTCTTCTCTGGTTGTGAATGGGAGTCAGCATTTGTCTAAAGAATCCAAGCAAAGGAAGATGAGGAATATTGCCACATTTTCCTGACACAGACAGAAGTTGGCAGTTGATACAGGGGGGCCCATGCAGACAGGTCAATTGGACATGGATAGAAATCAGAAAGCTTGAGAGTGCTTGGGTATTATTTTAGACTGCAGCACACTGAATACAGCAAAGAGGAAAGGGACCAGCATTAGGGAGGCCAGTGGAAACAGGCAACAGGACCTAGAGAAGGACCTAACAGTGAGGGCACTGACAATACAGCCCATGAGAAAGATAGGGGTATAGAGTGCATTCTAGTGTTAAAAGATTTTAATGAAAGCATTAATTCATTCTTCCTTTAAGTCACTCAGCAAACATTTATTGAGACCCCACTATGTCACAGGCATGGCAGGGCACTGGGATTGAAAGCTGAATAAAATATAGTCTCTGTCCTCCTTCTAGTGAAAGAGGCAGACATATAGAGAGATTCTGATTTTTATCAATCCGATGATGGAAATGAAATGGGCACTGGGCACTATAGGGCCTTTGGAGAAAGGGCTTCTGATGTCACCTGAAGTCAGTGTAGTTAGTTCTGTTTCCTAACACAGGTAAAAAAGTAAGTTGTGTCTTATGAGCAGCCAAATCTCCATATTCTATATTATCAATGTTTTAATAATTAGAATGTGATAAAATATAATTATAATAAAATACTATCAAACTCAAGCAGTCTTGCTCTAATGAGTGAGAAGGTATGTTAGGACCTTATAGAGCCTATAGGTCAAGTAGTGGTCAAGAGTGGGCCCTGGGGCCAAGCATGTACCACTGACAGGTCAGCGGTGACATAGCCTCCCTGAGCCCATTTAGACATCTGCAAAACAGAGACAGTATCAGTGCCTACTTTGTGCAGTTGTCGAGATGATGCATATAAAGAGCTTTAGCAAAGCATCTTTGGCACGTGGCAATTGCTCAGTAAATATTGCTCATGATTATTGTTGTACGTGTGTTGAGTAGTGGCAAGTTTAAATAACAGGAAGGCAGAGTAAGAAATCTGCTGCACAAATTTGTACCTTGGTCATGAGGGGGTCACGAGACTTCAGGCCCTAGGCATGAGTGTGGGCTGGATTTGGGCAGCTGGGGCAGCCTTTGGTGTGGCCGGTATGTTGGCCAGTGTGTGCTTGGGGTCTCACTGAGACACCCAGAAAGCTAAATTGTGTACTTGGTGTCTCAGTGATTCTTGTTATGAAGTTGGGTTCACTTCATCCCACACAGAGATATTTCTTGGCTTTTCCCAGAGGTAGCTTTAGTCCTAAATCAGATAACTGTTGTCGCTGGGATTCCTTTACTGTCTCTAGGAGCCCAGGATTTCAAAGCCCTCTTGAATGTTTTGGGTGACAGGGCTTAGATGGCTGCAATGGTGTGCTGGTCACAGGCTCTTTAAAAAAATGTAATAAAATACAATATATACATAACAGCCTTGATGTGTAGCATTCATCAATCTCTGTGATGTAAATACTCCCACCATAGCCTTTTTCAGGCTACCAACAGTTTAAAAACTGGCTTGCCATCAGCACCTCTGAGCCAGTGTGAGCTGGATGGCTGTGAGCATTTGTCCCTGGCATTCCCCAGGAGGCTCTGGTGTGTCTGTGCCTACTGTCCACTCCAGCACTGATGTCAGCAAATCTTCCTCCATTGTTCCAGATTTTTTTTTTGCTCATGTTGTTTTGAAATGAGAAACATTGAGAAATATACTGCTCTTTCCAAACTCAGAGTGAGCCATTTTCTACAAAGATTATGAGATGGACCCACTGAAATGTAGGTATCCAACTTCATTTTAATATGAAGTGAAAGTTCAGAAACATTCTGAAATTCTTATTTAGTATACAAATGAGCTAGATTCACAAAAACTCACTTTTTTTCCAGCCTTTTGCTCATCCTCCCGAGGGGGCAAGAGAAATTGAAAATGCCAAGTATGCTTCTGTATTATTGTTTTTTCTGCCCCCAGAACACCGGAGCCGGAGTGATCGCCGGGAGCAGAGAGCCACTGTCCCCCTTTCTGTAGGAGCTCCTCCACTGCCGGCCTACCCGCCAGCTCACAGCCAGAGGAGGCGCGAAGTTAAGGACCGGCACTTCTTAACGGTGAGCTTGGTGGCCAGCCGGCAGCCCTGTCCTTGCTCATCGGGAAGCACGCGTGGGACTTGGGAGTCAGTTTCCCTCCTCCTAGTGAAGGAGGCTGGGCCGCCAGAGAGAGAAAACCATGGGCGTTTGAGAACGACTGAATTATTTCCCCTTTTATTCCTGAAAGGATGGCCTCTTTTCTGGAATAGAGTGGGGATACGGATGTATTCTTTTAGTTAACTGGTTGCACAATACGGTAAAGCAATCATAGTTAAGGACTCTAAATCAGAAAAAAAACTTTGCTTCCAATCCCAGTTCTTCCGCATACAAGCTGAAAGATTTAGGGCAGTTACTTACCTTCTTTGCTCTCAGTTCCCTCGTTAGTACTGTGGGGCTATTAATAGTACCTAGCTTACAGAGTTTCAGGATAAGATGAGATAAGACATGGAAAGAGCTTAGCACAGTGCCTGGCACAGAGTAAGACCTCAACTACTCTTACTAGTCGGGTGACAGCATGGCTGACTCAGTAGGGTAAGCTGAGAAAGAACTTAAGTGGTATGAAAAATTACCATTTGTAGATGAATCATCTCATCATTTCATGTTTCCCCATCCTATAAGGGAGGCTTGTTCTTCAGGGTAACCAATTACCAGAGTGATGTCATCACTGCTGGTGATTTCAGCCTTGCCTGGGTGGGTGTGGCTGTAACTCATCCCAAGCCCCCAAGTACGATCACAGATGATGAAGCTGAGCCCAGCTCAGAACGCTTGCAAACACCATCACCCCAAGTGTGCTTTCTAAGGCCTCAGCGGGGACAAGTGAGCACTTTGCGCCTCTAAGTAGGGCACCACTGAAGTGAGGGGCTTTGGTTTCTGTGATCAGATCAGCCCATATGGCCTGCCCAAATGGCTGGACCCCTGTACCCTTGTCATTCTGGTTTGAGGCCCAAAGTCTAAAGAAGTTACAATAGTGTGGGTACAAATTGAGGTTTTTATTTGAAATTAAGTTTGTATGTATGATTACAAACCCTGCATCCTAATGGCTTTTACAATATGCAAAATAGATGCAAGATATTTGGGTCACATGATGCCAAACATCCAGCTGAGAACAGACTTCATCTAAATGAATCTGTCTGATATAACAGCCAGATAAAACAGTGAGTGATATTGACATAGACATTTTTTCTACTTGTGGCTGGACAGTAGGCTTCATGTCCTTCAGACTCATCGAGTGCCTACTAAGTGCCATGTTGCACTCACTACATTGTTGGAGTGCAGCCCAGGCATAAGAAAGGAAGGTAAGAGTCTCTTAGGGCTTCTCTAGGTCTTTATATAGAGCAGTTACACATGCTAGTGATTTGTCATAAAAGCCCCTGCTCAACAAAAGTTCTTATTAAGCTCAATTCTGCTTGCTAAAGCATTTGCTTTTAATGAGGCATTTTCTGCATAAAAATGCTAAAAATATTTTTCCCATTCATTATAACATGTTTTGTGGTTCATTAAGTTTGTTTTCTTGGTGGGGGGAGGTAGGAGAGAAGAATGTTGAGCATTTACAGAAATGGCATAAAAATATTACCCTTTGTCATAATCTGCATAATTTTTAATAACGTCTAAATACCAAAGTAAGACTATAGGAAAAGGCTTAAAATAATAAATAGCAATGAGGGTGCTTCATTTACCCAACAAACGTCAGTAAGAGAGGAGTCTAGATCATACTTATGTAAACCAGAAAATTTACCCATCTCAAATGGTAGTACTTAGTATTTCTAAGTAATTTGGGGAAATTTTAACTGTTTGATTTGTTCGATTGAGTTTGGGTCACCAAGTTCATTGGAAGATTTTCCATTCAAGTTATACCCTCAGACCTGGAGTTGACTCAGAATAGAACACAGTTCTATGCATTAAGCTTACAAGGGCTGTATGTTGCTGTAAGAGAAAAGGCTGCAAGGATAGGGATAGGAAATTTGCAGCTAAATTGCTGGATGGACATTTTCTTAGACAGCAACTCTCCTTCTTTCATGTACGAGACTTTAGTTAAGCCATTTTTTTCTTCCTTTAAAAAAGCATTCATAGCGAGACTCTGATATACAATCTTCCACAACTCTGCAAACGGTTATACTGTACTTTGGTCATTAATGGCATGGACTGTGAAGCCAAACTGCCTGGATTTGAATACCAGCTCTACCATTTACTAGCTGTGTGACCATGGACAGGTTAACCATTTCAGTGTCTCAGGGATAATAGTAGAGGGTACCTCATAACTTTGAAACAAGGACTGAATGTGTTAATACTTGTAAACAGTACCTGAGGCATAATAAGCACTCAATATGTATTAGACATCATTATCATCATCATTATTATTAGCCAATCAAGTCCCTGAGGTATCAGTGATATAGAGATAAGATCATGGGTCTAACTAGGTTTAAGTCCCAGCTCTACAACTTTTTGATTGTGTGATTTGAAAAAAGTTATATATTTTTGAGTCCCAGTTTCTTTATCTGTAAAATGGGGGTAATAACTTCAATTTTACAAGGTTGATAGGAAGACTTAATACAATGTTGTGTAAATACGATTCAATTGTGTGTGTGTATATGAAAAAGTGTCTAGCATAGTGACTAAAATACATGAACATCTAAATCTATATTCATAACCACTTATAGTAAAATTCTTACCCTCAAATGAAAATCATCTAACGTATACTCACATATAAGACTGGAGGAAGTATAAGTTGTTGCACCCTTTCTAGAGGGCAACTTGCCAATATTTATCAAAACTGTAAGATATTCAAGCCCCAGCAATTCTATATCTAGGAATTTATCCCAAGGCAGTAATGAGAGTGTATGCAAAGACTTATTCACCAGGATATTCATCAAAACACTGTTTACAATAGGAAAAATAATTACAAATGTCCTAAATGTCCAACAATGGGGATTTAGTTTAGTGAATTCTGATATAATCAAAGGATAGAATCCAGTATCAAAAATAATGTCATAGAAGAATATTTAATGATATGGAAAATGTATATTTTATCATCAGTGATTTTTAAACAGTATATAAAATTATGTATAGTATGATCTCAAAAAATATCTGTGCGTGTATATGTGAGTATATATACACACATGTGTAGGAAAAGAGGCTGGAAGGCTATATACCTGTGGTTCCCAAATTGTGTGATGAGGTACCCCAGGGCACTGTAGTGAAATCCTAAGAGTGAATTGGGATATTTTAAATTTTCAAGGGGCACAGTGTCATTTGTCTGGTGTCATCTGGTGATGGCTCCACAGTAGCCTCACAGCTCCTACAAGTAGAAAGAGGGGATGCTTGGTTTCTTGACATTTGATTTATATCAAAAGTTCTCTAAGGGGAACTCACAGGAAACTCACCAGCCAATTTAGCTTAAAAATCTCTATCAGCTGCAAATTCGAGGAGCATCTCCTAATTAAAGCCCATCTGGGAGTCTTCTTTCATCAAAATTTATCAGGGTGGCAAAGGAGATGATTTCAGGCCCAGATGGTTTCCCAGAGGAATTCTACTAAACCTTCAAGGTCTAGATAATCCCTCTGCTCTATAAATTGTTTCAAAGCATTGAAAATGAAGTAGAACTTCCCTTTTTCTTTTATAAACTTTTTATGAAGGTTTGATAAATAAACATGACAAAAACAAAAAAGAAGAAAGGAAGGAAGGGAGAGAAGTAGGGAACTACAGACCAATATCACTTATGATTATCGATGCAAAAATACTAAATTAAATGTTAGAAAACAGAATACAATACCATATTAAGAAATTAATATGTCACGACTAAATGGGATTTATTTCAAGAATGGAAGGTTAGTTCAATAGTAGGAAATCTATTAGTATCATATACCATATTAATAGATCCAAGGGAAAAAAAACCCATATGATTATCTCCATAGATGCTGTAAAGTCTTTAAATAAAATTCAATACCTAGTCTTTTGGGCTTGAGAAAATAAGAACTAAGTGGTACTTCCTTAACATAATAAAATATATATACCTTAGTCCTAAAGCCAATATCTTACTTAATAGGGAAACACTAGAGGCATTTCTGCTAAAATCAGGAACAAGGTAAGGATGCTCACTATCTCTGCTACTAATTAGCATACCAGAGAGATTAATAAATGCAATTAGACAAAATAATTCCATTATAGACATAAGAACTGGTAAAGAAGTAAACCTATATCTAGTTGCAGATGATATGAAAATCCTGGAGAATCAATGATAAAACTAACTCCAACAATAAAAGAATTCAGTAAGGTAGCAAGATATAAACACATAAAAATCAATACCCTTCATTGGCACAAATGATAGCCAATTAGAAGACCTAGTGGCAGAGAAAACTCTACAGTAATAACAAAGAAGATTAAATACTTAGGAATTAATTACCAGAAATATGCAAAACCTATATGAGAAAAACTTAGAAGCACTCATAAAAGACACAAAATTAGACTTTCTCAAATGGAAGGACATCCCCTGTTCTTGGATAGAATAATTCAGCATTATAAACAAGACAGTTCTCTCTAAGTTGATTTATAAGTTTAACACAATCCCAATAAAAATGCTAATAAACTTTTATGAAAATGGAGTTAGACCTATTGATACTAAAGTTCTTAGGGAGAACATCTAAGAACAGCCAGGAAAACACTGAAAAAGGAAACCTACAAGGGGTTACTAGCCCTATCAGACATTAAAATATCTTTAAAACCTTTATAGTTACAACAGCACGGTACTAGCACGTGAACAGAGAAATATACCAGTAGAATAGAAGACAAAATCTAGAAATTGACCCGAGTATATATGAAAACATAATAGATGATAAAAGTGTATCTCAAAACACTGAGGCAAAAGATAGAATTTCATTTAATGAAGCTGGAACAACTGGGTAGCCACTTAGTAAAGGAAAAAATTTTGTCAGTTTCTCAGCCTCAGCACTATTAACATTTGGGGTCAGATAATTCTCTGCTGTGGGGGCTGTCCTGCACACTGTGCAATGTTTAGCAGCATCCTT